TTTAGTGGTTATCAGTTCAGCGCAGCCTACTTTTGTGAGACTGAACTTTGGTAACTTGTGTGAGTCCAACAACTTGTTTGTTTCCAGTATTTCTGAGACTGAACTCTTGTAACTTGTTTAATTCTACACTTGTTTTCAGTGTCTGAGACTGAACTATAGGAGTAACTTGTTCAACTCTAGTAACTTATTTAAGAATTCTTCAGTGTTTGTGAGGCTGAAGTGTAGTAACTTGTTCAATCCTACTATGATCAGGATTGGACTGTGATGTTTGGCATGATGTGCTTCTGCACGTTCTTTCTTCGGGGGTCCCCTGGGTCCAGTAATTAGTTTGTTGGTGCTTCGCTGCTAGACATATTCCAGCCAGATGGTGTTTAAATTTGTTGCATGCCGTTTTGTTTTACCTTATGTATTTTCCTGTTATCATAACTCTTGTATTGGTCGGCAGTTTCTTTAATCGAAATCAATGAGGAGGCTCGTTGTTTCAACAAAAGAAGTACAAAAAATAAAGAAATATTAGAAGTACAAAGAGAAAGAAATATTGGAAGACACATCGGCGGCGACGGTCGGGTGTCGTTGGGCGTGCGGTTGAGCTCGCAAGAATCTTGGCGGAGATCTCTCAGTAGTGGTGGATATGGAGGTGGTGCGACGATCAGCTTGGCGGCGCTTCGGTGGAATTGAGTGAGGGGTTTGAGAGACGGGGGGCAGGGGTATTTATAGGATAGCGACACAGGTTTGTGCGTGTCCACGAATAGCACGAACGGGAGGTCGTGTCGAGTGGGGCGCTCGGATCATGGGTGCGGCTCTTGAGGGCGATAGGTTGAAGGCGATGACGTGTCCTGATGGGTGGGTCCCGACGTCAATAGGAGAGAGGGGGGAGAGAGTGCGTGCAAGAAGAAGCGGCAACCGTCCGATCTCATGCGAGCAGCCAGGAATAGATCATGCGTACTGTTTCTCTCTCTCTCTCTCTCACTCCGGCATGTGCGTTGGGCTTGCTAGCTGGCGGTTGGGCTTTTCTTTCTCTCATTTGCCCTTTTTTTGTTTGCCCTTTTTCTTTTCTGATTTCTTTTTTAAACAAGGATTTACTTATAATTTGAGTTGCCCAAATTCAAACTATTTTAAACATTTGAACACACAAGAAAATCAGGCAAATGTGAATCTTAGGAATTACTTTCCTGCCCTTAATACAATTTTGGAAAAACTTTTATGCAAAAAAAAACATTATGGCTAATTATTAAACTCCAATTTGACTCAGGGTTCTAAAATTGGTCAAATTTGATTTTCAGACTCCAAATATGCAACAAAATCATGGATGATTGCCTCGACGACCTCCACGCAACCACCGCTTCCTCCCCGTAGAAGGAAATAAAGAGGGCCGACCCCAACTCCTCCAAGCCGAGCTCCTCCTCCTCCACCCGAGCTCCCCCAACTGGCCTCCTCCTCTGCTCCATCCCCCCACCCCCACGCCTCCACACCCCCACACCCTACCCCGTGCCTAGATTGAGGACTTGGCTATGAGGAATAGCTCTCCTCTATTGGATCTAGTAGGTGGCAGTGTT